CCCCCTGTGACTCCCCAAATCCCCCAGGACCCCTCCCCAAATCCATCCAGACCCCCAAACTCACTCAGGACCCCCCCAAACAGCTCCCAACCTCTCCCAGACCCCCCAAAACCTCCCCAAATCACCCTCAGGACCCTCCCTGACCCCCCCAAATTTTGGCTTCCTCCTCTGGGAGGTTTTGGGGTCCCCCCCGGGGGTTTTGGGGGTTGATTTTTTTGGGGGGGTTTCAGGGTGCTGCTGATGCGGATGCAGAACCTGCACGGGCTGCGGCGGGGGAAGGACAGCGAGAGCGAGGAGGAGGAGGAGGATGAGGAGGATGAGGAGGATGAGGAAGAGCGGGAGCCGCAGCTGCTGCTCCTCATGGCCCCCCAACTACACTGGGAACAACAGGCTGCGGGTACGGAGCCCTCCCCCAAAAAACAACCCTGGAACAACAATCACCTGGGACCCCAAAAAACATCCTGGGAACACAAAAAATCATCCTGGGAACACAAAAAACATCCTGGGAACAACAAAAATCACCCTGGGACCCCAAAAAACATCCTGGGAACACAAAAAATCATCCTGGGAACACCAAAAATTGCTCTGGGAACACCAGAAATCACCCTGGGAACAACAAAAATGACCAAAAATCATCCTGGGAACACCAAAAATTACTCTGGGATCAACAAAAACCACCTTGGGAAGAATAAAAGTCACCAAAAATCAGCCTAGGAACACCAAAAACTTTCTGGGACTCCCCAGCTAACCCTGGGACCCTCCAAAATTTCCTTGGGACCCTCAAAATTCCTCTGGGAACCCCAAAAATCACCCTGGGACCCCCCCAAAAACCCCAGATCTTCCCTCGAGTCCCTCCCAGGACCTCCCAAAATCCCTCCCTCACCTTCCTTCGCCCCTTTTGGGGGTCCCAAACCCCGGTGACCCCCCGGATTTTCCGTGTCCCCCCACAGGTGACGTCCCTCGGGGGGTCCCCGGTGGCGGCCGTGTGGTCGGAGCGGGGCCAGGTGGAGGTGCTGGAACTGGGGAGGGCCCTGGCGGTCCTGGAGGGGCAATTTGGGGAGGGGGATTCCAGGAGGGGGCAGAGGAGCGTGCAGCAGGGAGCTCTGCCCGAGCTCGCCTCCTTCAGCGGGCACCTGGACGAAGGGTTCGCGCTGGACTGGAGCCCCCAGAGCCCAGGTGAGGGACGGGGGAAAATGGCGGCCAGCGTGAGGGGAAAGGGCGGGAAATGTGAGGAGACAAAATGGCGGCCGGCGTGAGGGGAAAGGGCGGGAAATGTGAGGGGAAACGTGAGGGGTACGTGAGGGAAAAAAGGCAGGAAACGTGAGGGGACAAAATGGCGGCCGGCGTGAGGGGAAAAGGGCGGGAAACGTGAGGGGACAAAATGAGGGGAAAAGGGCAGGAAACGTGAGGGGACAAAATGGTGGGAAATGTGAGGGGGAAATATGAGGGGAAAATGGTGGGGAATGTGAGAGGAAAGGGCGGGAAATGTGAGGGGACAAAGTGGTGGCTGGCGTGAGGGGAAAGGGAGGGAAATGTAAGGGGACAAAATGGTGGGAAATGTGAGAGGGAAAGGGTGGCAATCGTGAGGAGAAAAAGGAAACGTGAGGGGACAAAATGGCGGCTGGCATGAGGGGGAAAGGGCGGGAAATGCGAGGGGACAAAATGGTGGGAAATGTGAGGGAAAATGTGAGGGAGGAAGGACGAGAAACGTGAGAGGAAAGGGTGGGAAACTTGAGAGGAAAATATGGGAAACCTGAGGGGAAAATGTGAGGGAAAATAATGGGAAATGTGAGGGGAGAAAAGGGCGGCTGGCATGAGGGGTAAAGGGCAGGAAACGGGGGAAGAGGGTGGGAAATGCAAGGGGAAATGTGAAATGGAAAGAGTGGGAAATGCGAGGGGAAAATGGTGGGAAGTGTGAGGGGAAACGTGGGGAAAAGGGTGAGAAACACGAGGGGACAAAACAGTGGCAATCGTGAGGGGAAAAAGGCGGGAAATGTGAGGAGACAAAATGGCGGCAGTCGTGAGGGGGGAAAAAGGCGGGAAACGTGAGGGGGAAAGGGCGGGAAACCTGAGGGGACAAAATGGTGGCTGGCATGAGGGGGAAAGGTCGGGAAACACGAGCAGACAAAATGGTGGGAAATGTGAGGGGAAATGTGAGGGAGGAAGGACAAGAAACGTGAG